AATATCATCAGAGCCGAGGTGGTGCAGTAGTTATAGTACTGCAGGCTACTTCAGCTGACGGCTAGCTGCAGTTCAGCAGATCGAATCTCACCAGGCTCAAGGTTGACTCAGCCTCCCATCCTTCCGAGGTGGGTAAAATGAGGACCCAAATTGTTGGGGGCAATATGCTAACTCTGTAAACCGCTTAAAGAGGGCTGTAAAGCACTATGAAGTGGTATATAAGTCTAAGTGCTATTGCTATTGCTATCATTGTTTAACGACCCCATAATCCCTTGCCGGGTGGAGTCTGGGCAACTGAATGGAGCTAGCAGAGTGTTTACTGGCCGGATGCCTTTCCTGACGCCAATGCAGAGATTTGTTCAGCAGATATATTCTCATTGTGCTCAGAGAGAGAAATATCTGTCTCTACCTAGGATCGAACTCACAGCCTCCCGATTGTGAGGTGAGAACTCCACCTCTAGGCCACCGCACCACTCCTGTATTCATACAATATGATGAATCAAAACCAAACAAACCATGCTATGGCTTTGCATGATGTGGGAACGCCACCAGACTGCCCTAGGAACAAAAAGAGGGAGGATCAAATGTGCACTCTGCCATTAAATTAAACCGGTGATGCCCCCTCCTCTCTTTGCTCCTTGCTCACCCAAAATTGTTGTGAATCGTGATTTACATGAAAGAATAAATACCATTTGCAAAACAAAAAACAAAAAAAACCCCTGAAATCTGTTGCTCCTAACACTAGCAATTACAGCCTTACATTCAAGACAAAGAAAGCAAACTCTCATTCAATTGCCTAATTAACTTTCAAGAGAAGCCGGAATTTCTGTGCACCATTTTTTGAAACGTTCCTTCAGCCTTCCTTCCTGGAAATCAGGTAAGACGGCAAGAGGAGCCCCATCTTGCTCCACGCGCCCCAAAATAATAAGACCTCCCTGAAAATAAGATCAAGCGCTTATTTTAGGGTTCAAAAAAATATAAGACAGGGTCTTATTTTTGGGGAAACATGGTAGGAGAAGAAGATGGGGATGTTGATTAGAAATCAATAATCCAATCCAGACAGAGGATATCAAGTTGAATTTTTTTAAAAAAAACAAAAAAACCCTGTTATACTGCAGCTTCATAAATGCTCAATAGCACTATATTTGCATATTAGTCATAAAGCAAAACGAAAGAGTAGACCCAACAGCTGCTTCTACAGCTAGCAGCAAACCTGATGGGCGGCCTCTCGTCCTTTATTGCAAGCCTCCCCTCCTCCCCACCCTCGAGTAATTTTCTGACACACAACACGTAATCCAATTTATGGAAACCATTGCCACGAGATGCGATTACTGTGGTTGGTTTTTCTAAAAATTATCTTCGTTAAAAATGCATGAAAGCTTGGACGTGACTAATAACCACAACCTGTAGAGAGAAACGGACAAAAAAAAAATCTTCTCTGTATGCAGACACTACATTTGAGAGCAATATTAGCCAGGGTCAAAAGCAACAGCAGGCCCAGGATTATGGGACCTGAAATCCAGCATAGATGGAAAGGCACCACGCTCGACTCATAAACAACTCACTTTTTAAAGCAACATGGGCTTTTGACCTAAGAGATTAGCCGAGCAATAATCTGCATCCTCTAAGAAAAACCCAAATTACAGAACTAACCTGCTTCTTGGTAAACTAGAAAAAAAAGTGGGATAGATAGCATCACCATCAGATAGATTTGTAACTGGCTGGCAAACAATACTCAACGAGTAGTCCTCAATGATACTACATCTACATGGAGGGAAGTAAGCAGTGGGGTACCACAAGGTTCCGTCTTAGGCCCAATATTCTTCAATATTTTCATAAATGACTTAGATGAGGGAATAGAAGGGGAATTTACCAAATTTGCGGATGATACGAAGCTGGCAGGAGTGGCCAACCCCTAGATGATAGGGTGTTGGATTAAATGACCTACAACTCTGTTAATCTGTAATCAGATCCGGGAGGGGAAAAGCTTGCTCTGCTTCTCTACATCATTGCAAAATCTCAGTTCCTTAAACCTTGCACTTTAATTATGATCAGTGCCCTCCAGGTCCCCCCCACCCCAAAAAAAAGCTAGGTCAATGAACTCCCCAACTGAAAATGAAAAGGCTAAGCAACATATCCCAACTGACCGCTATTGCTGATCTAGAAAAAGTTTGCCTACCCTTGTTTTCAAAGGAGTTCAATTCTCTCAGATTTGCTCTTATGTCTTATTGTGATGCAACGAGCCAAAAGAAGAGCACGTTGGGGTCATTGAAACACAAATTTCTTCATTCTCAAAACATACGAGAACCGTACAGAGTTCTTCATGTGACTTGGGAGGCATCTGATGTGCTTCAAGCAAAGTGGGTGGATAGGGAAAACGTCTCATCCAACATCAATGCAAAAAGCAGATCAAAGCCACCTGCTGCTGAAGCTAAAAAGACCAGAGTAAAAAGACCAACTGGGAGCTCTACTGTAAGTATTTATTTAAAACATTTTCCGTTCTGCCCTTTGGTTTGATATTTCAAAGTCTACTTATAATTAGTCACAAAACACAACCAACTGCCGCTAATAGCAAAGTATCAAGGACACTTTGAACAGCAAGAAGCTTTGAGGGTAGCCATCCCATCAGCTACTTCTCTGAAGACTCTTGCAATAAAATAACGCACATCAATTTGTCCATAAAAGACACCATTAAAACAAGACACAAGCCCTAAGCAACTCATCGTGTAGAAAGCTAAATGTACGTTTCCAGTGGGCCTCACTATGCTCTATATCAGTGTTTCTGATGCTCTATATGCTCTATATCAGTGGCTATGCTCTATATCAGTGTTTCTCAACCTTGGAAGCTTGAAGATGGGTGGACTTCAACTCCCATGCTATGCTCTATATCAGTGTTTCTCAACCTTGGAAGCTTGAAGATGGGTGGACTTCAACTCCCAGAATCCCCCAGCCAGCAGCGCTGGCTACCAAGGCTACCAACCTCAAGCTACCAAGGTTGAGAAACATTGCTCTATATATTCCACACTACTATCTCCATACAGGCATTGACCAGCCCAGAAGAAGAGTTGACTTCCTTCAAGGGAAGCATGGAACCAATAGCAGAAGACACAAAACTCTCACTGAGAACAGCCGGTTAAAATAGTAGACCAACTATTCCATCCATCAAAAACAGGTGTGAGCACTAAGGCCAGTTTCCTGCCGACGTCTTTGCCTGCAGTGAAGGCTTCTTCCTTCTGCCATCTTTCTCATTTCAGATGCCTAAAACACTACTAGCCCACCACTTTCCAAATCAGCAACTGTAGGAACTCTTATCCTTCAAAATGTCCAGAGGGACAACTAGGAGTTAACTGTGGCTAATGCTCAAAGATCCTTGATGCTAGGTGACCCAAATCCCAGCAAATGGACTCATGTCAATCGTGCTACACCAGACCCGTTCAAGCCATCCAGAGGCACCTCAAACTGCAAGATGGACAGCAAATAAATGTAACAACAACAACAACAACAACCCAGACTTAACAATTGTCAGTAAAAAAGTCAAAAAAAGTCTGGATAGTGGATGTGGCAGTGCCTGAAGACAGCAGAATAGAAGAGAAAGCACTGGTGAGGATAACACAATACAAACACCTGCAAATAGAAACAGAACGACTGTGGCAAAGGGAAGGAAGGGTAATAGGCACCTTAGGTGCAATCCCAAAACAACTGGAGCACCATTTGAACACCATCAGAACACTGCATCCAGTTTTCGTCACCACGCTATAAAAAAGATGTTGAGACTCTAGAAAAAGTGCAGAGAAGAGCAACAAAGATGATTAGGGGACTGGAGACTAAAACATATGAAGAATGGTTGCGGGAACTGGGCATGGCTAGTCTAGTGAAGAGAAGGACCAGGGGAAACAGGATAGCAGTCTTCCAAGACTTGAGGGGCTATCACAGAGAGGAAGGGGTCAAGCTATTTTCCAAGGGACCTGAAGACCAGATAAGGAATAATGGATGGAAACTGATCAAGGAGAGATTCAATCTAGAAATAAGGAGAAATTTTCTGACAGTGAGAATAATCAACCCATGGAACAGCTTGCCTTCGGAAATTGTGGAAGCTTCATCATTGGAGGCTTTCAAGGGGAGATTGCACTGCCATTTGTCAGCGATGGTATAGGCTCTCCTGGATGGGCAGGTGGTTGGACTAGATGACCTACAAGATCCCTTCCAACTCTGTTAACCTATCTAACTCACCAGCATTGACAAATTCTCCATCAGTCAATTGCAAAAACCAGCTGTACTCGGAACAGCTTCCATCCTGTGACAATATCTGTAACACCATCAAAACATACACATCTGCCTATGCCAGGTCCTTGGAAAAGGACTCGATAGGTAGGCAAAAATGCCAAACCCAGTCTGAACATCTGGCTGACGAACCATAACAACAACAACAATTTGCTAAAATTGCTTTTTAAGATATTTAAGATGCTTAAAATCTTTCAAGCCAATGTGGGATAACGTTCCCAAATGGTAAAGGTTTATTCATTCATTCGTCCAATTTCAAGATTGTCTGTCTTCATTCACAGAGCTGGTTGGAAAACAGTCATTCGCTCATTCATTGATGTTTAACTCAGTTCTCGAAGTTGCCAAGAAAGAGGGAGAGGGTCTTCCATGTGACGACACCCATCCTCAAGTAAAAAGACAGTCCTTCTTCCTTCAAACCAATTGCACAAAAGTCCCAAACCATGAATTAACCAGCTCAAACTATCTTCCAGCCATCTCGCTACTGAAAGGAACTCCGGGCACACAAAGAGATGGTTCAGAAAGCAAAAATTTCAGAAAATAAAACCAACAGAGAATTTTAAAAAGGAAGAGCTGCTTCCTCGTGATTAAAGACCCAAAATAAATAAATAAAAATAAATAGAAGGAAATTAGTTTTGCGAGTGGTCATGTGCCTTTTTGTTCCTCAATCAATGGCTGAAGCTCAGTGATGGAAAATGGGGAAAAAAAACCCAAAACCTTACCGTTCCTTCAGAAGTAACGTTCTCAGCTAGATCCGTCAGAAAATCCATTTCTTCTTCAATTTTCATTTCCAGAGAGTCTGCAGGGGAAAAAAAAAGAGAGAAAGAAATTCACGTGTCTTTTAATAATTGTTCCAGTGCATCAGTGTTAAAACAGCATAGATAGTGGTCCCTTCCTTTTCTGCCTACCCACACAGGTTTCCTTTTAGCTCATTCTGTAACTTCCTAATTCTTCCTATCCAGGGGTGGGCTTCAAAAATTTTAGCAAGGGGTTCTCTGCCTGGTTGCTGGGTGGGCGTGGCCTAGTCAGTCTCCTGAACCACAGCGGGAAGGGAACATTTTTGCCCACCCCAGGCTCCAGAGGCTTTTCTTGAGCCTCCGGGTGGGTGAAAATGGCCTCCCCAGGCTCCGGAGTCCCTCTGGAGGCTGGAAATAGGCCCATTTCTGGCCTTCCCAAACTTCCAGTAGGCCCATTTTTCACCCTCACCAAGCCTCTGTGCACGCCCTGAACTTATCTGCATCCAAAACCGGCCGTGTGGGGACTCCTGGGAGGGGAGAGGCAAGGTGGGCTGGGCTGGGCCAGCCAGAAGTGGGATTTAGGAGTTCTCCAAATTGCACAGAATCTTAGCTATAAGTTCTCCCGAACCCCTGCGAACCCCCAGCAACCCACCCCTGTTCCTATCTCATCCCACCCACCCACCCCCCAACCTGGCCCTCATCCCTGCATATTGCCTTGCAATTCCTGTCCAAGCTGAGATGTTTGGTTCATTTGATGTCACTCTGAAACATCTCTTCTTTTGTCAACCAAAGAGGGCAACACCAAGAAGGGACAGAAACAGACAGACAGAAACTAGCCATTTCAAACTGGAATTGAGAAGGCAGGGGTGGAAAGGATTGGTTGAGTTGCTTCTCTCACACCACCTTTAAACCTGGTTGGTGTTTCTAAGGAGTAGATATTTCAGGCGATTTCAAAACTTGGATTGTTTTTTTTTTTTTTTTTACTAGCCAAAGCTTTCTGATTCAATAAGATGGATTGTCTCATTGTAGGAAGGTGGGCTCTAAATCTACTGTATTGGAAAAAAACAGGAAACACTGATTTCTTTTCTAGTTTTCACTGAGAATTAGATTTGTTTAACAGGGAAACATGAAGCTCAAATACTTTGGCCACCTAATGAGATGGAAGGACTCACTGGAGAAGAGCCTAATGCTGGAAAAGACTGAGGGCAAAAGAAGAAGGGGACGAGAGAGAACAAGGTGGCTGGATGGAGTCACTGAAGCAGTTGGCGTGAGCTTAAATGGACTCCAGAGGATGGTAGAGGACAGGAAGGCCTGGAGGAACATTGTCCATGGAGTCGCAATGGGCCGGACACGACTTCGCAACTAACAACAACAACAACAACAGGGACACAGAGAGAAACTAGACTTCTTGGAAAGCTGAATATCAGAACTTCTTTAAAGACCAAAGGGATATTAAGAAGGGGAAATTAAACCACAGGAAAGCCGCAGTTCATGCTTGCAGGTAAATCCATGCTATCAGACAAAGTTTTAGGTGATAGGGTCAATGGCACTCTGCGTAACTGAAGGCTCCACAAGAGATTCTGCTCACAGAAAGCAAACACTTTCCTTTCTTAGTCTTTTTTTCCTGATAATGCTAACTTTCTCTGTGTTAAGAAGAACATTGATAACAGCATTAAAACTGCTTTGCCATTTCATACAGATTTGGCCAACTAATTAACCCTGAGCCACTGGCATTTCTGCTGCACATGAACACAATTTTTAAGATGCCACTCATAGGCAAAGAGCTGATTGCAGAAAATGTAGCGAGGAAATAATTTCCTCGCGACCTCTGAAAAACCAAAGTGAGGAACATGCTCGGTGGGACTCCCAACTCATATCAGCTTCAACCAGTACAAAGCAGCCAATCGCAGCCACGTAGCATCTTCTGATGTAAGGAATGAGTATTACATATCTAAGAGAACTGGTGCCAATTACACTGGTCCACAAGGACCAATGGTCACATCCACACAAAATGGGGCAGGTTCTTCCGAAGTGGCATCTTCCAGACGTGTTGGGAATGCAACTCCCAGAATACTCCAGCCAGCTTCGTCTTGCTGGGCATTTGGGAAACAGCAGCTCCAACACATCGGGAGGGCACCAAGTTGGGTGGAGTTGGACAAATCAATAATATCAGGCCAGATGATCTTCTGGTCTGGCAGTTGTCATGTGTTTACAATCTCATTTCTAAGGAAACCAAACTACAGACGTTTTTGTAGAGATGAAGAGTTTTTCCAGTTTCCATTTATCATGTGATACTTCAGCAAATAGTAACTTCACTAGTGATTTGGTAACATTGGTTTGCTTAATATCTGTGAGCTGCTGAACCATCGTCTGCAAAGCAACTCAAAAAAGGTCTCATCAACTCCCTAAGATTTAGAAAACATTAAACAACTAGTAAAGAGGAGGGTAGATTTGGGGCCTTAATAAGCAAAACCAATTTAAATTTCGAACAAACATTTAGGAGTTTGGAATAAGCAGGCACTTCATTTCTGTCTTGTATTTCTGTCGTGGGGATTTGCAAAGGGAAGCTACTTTAGATGATCCAGAGCAACATTTTTGGCAGCTCTCAATGGCATCACCATCATCAACAACAACAACAGTTGTGGGGGAAAAGAGAGAATGAGAAGGGATTTGAGAATCGAGTGGGGGGGGGGAAGGAATGAGTTTGTAAGCCTTTGTGTTTGTTTTTGGTGCAAGAGTGGCTACGTCTCCTCAGAGTCACAGGGGAGAGCAGCATGCCTTGGCAAGAAAGAACAAGCTTAGCTTGAGCTCAGAACAAACAATGCATGCCTGGCACAAGACAGACCGCAAGCGAATGAAGAAGTCGTGGGTTGGATTTGACATCCCAGAGGGAGAGAAGGGGAGACGATACACTGGGCAATTCAAGGCAGCCCCCTCCCTCGCTTCTTTTCCATTTCACGCATGTCTTTCTTGCCGAGTCACCTACGGTGAATAGACACACACACACACAGTTTAGGAATATTTTTTTTCTCACTCCCACCTTGAGGTCTCCGCATACACACACCTTTCTCAGTTGGCTCCTGATGCTCCCCACAGGTTCTCTGGCCCCCCGAGTCCATTTCTACTACCTAGATCACATGTGGACAGAAAACCCTTGCGTTTGCTGTGTTCCGGGCACGGTGGAGACTCCCGTTTAATCCTGTTTCTCCAGTTGCTCTGGAGCTTTCCTGAACTACGCAGTCTCAGCATCGTGGCTGGCAGCAGGTGCAAAGCAGGAAGTGCGCCTTAATTACAGGTGCCCATTCCCAGCCCCTCCCCCGCGCCTTCGGTTTTAGCCTTCCCCACATATTCAGCGCAAAGCAGTTTTGAGGCCAAAGCTGCTTCCAGCAAACAGCACCTACTACACGTCCCACTACACATCTACTTTCAAGGCACACTTGCTCTACGAAATCCAACAGCAAGACTTTACCAACAGGCCAGCCTTTCTTTCTCTTTCTCTCTCTTTCTTTCTTTCTTTCTTTCTTTCTTTCTTTCTTTCTTTCTTTCTTTCTTTCTTTCTTTCTTTCTTTCTCTCTCTTTCTTTCTTTCTCTTTCTTTCTTTTTCTCTTTCTCTTTCTCTCTCTCTTTCTTTCTTTCTCTCTCTCTCTCTCTCTCATACACACACACACATATATATATACACATACACCATGTTTCCCCCAAAATAAGACTCCGTCTTATATTTTTTTGAACCCTGAAATAAACACTTGGCCTTATTGTCATGCACTCAAAAGCCCGATTGGGCTTATTATCAGGGGATGTCTTATTATATATATATTTCTATTAATTACATTTCTTAGTGCTTAATAAACATCGTGTTGTCTGGGTATTTAATATGCTTAGCAATACAGATTCCATTCTTACTCTCCACCCCTTTTTTCCAAGCACTGGTAAAATACGTTCCATGCTTGATAATATTTTCTGTCTTCAACAGACCAGCCTTTCTGATGACATCTAAAAAGTTTAGACTGCATTTTTAAAAACAAAGGGTTTTTATAACCATCCGGGAGCCGAGCAAGAAACTCAGAAGACCAACCTCTGCCTACAAAGGGTTTTTGGTTTTTTTTTTAAGTTGACCGTTCCTCTGTTGTGGAACCGGGGTTCGCTCCTTCTTTATGGAAGCTGCCGCGTTGAATAAACGGCCAGAGTTTAAAGGGGGTGAGGGAATAAATTTGGGAGGCTGCCACTGAAGTCCAAAAGGAGGGATCAACCGCGGCTTCGCCAGGATCGCATGACAGCTCCCCCCACTCCCTATATGAGATCAAAATATCAAGCCACCGTCTGCCACAAAAATAAAATGTGCTCGCTGGACACCAAATCCTGTCAAGCGGGGCCTGAGAGCAGCTGTTATTATTTTATTTTTTTCCAGGCTATGCTCCTCTCCAGTTTTGTTCTTGTGAAAAAAAATATTCTTGTATACACCCTGGCTCTGCTAGTCCCCAAACAGCAAATGCTCCTAGTTTTTCCTACTATTTGCAGTTCGTCCTGGAATGACAGGGCAAATCATGGGGGGACGGCGGGGGACGGTACGGGATGGCCTGAATCCTTCATGTTGCGCTTAAAGCAAAAATAAGAGAGAGCACACCCAACATTGGTTCAATCTGTCATGTTCGTTCAGTTTTTAACTTCGGGGAAATTTGCTGGTACTAATTTGCAGCAGATCAAACTTAACTGGGGGAGGAAGAGAGGCCTCCACACCTGCGATTCCTCAGGGCAAGCCACATAATAGCAGCAGGCAGAGATCAGCTGTTTTCTTTTTCTTCTTCTTTTTTTTAAACAGCTGTCTGAACAGGTGGAGCCATGAAAGCTTGCATTAAACTATCATTAAGCCTTGCCAACAATTATGCCTCTAGGTTTACAGCTCAGATGGAAGGGGTGGGGGTGGGGGAAAGGCCTTTCCTTCATTCCCTCACCACCTTCCTCGCTCTCACCTTTAAAAACAAACCAAAAAAAAAAAAAGCAAAGAAAACAATATGCTCTAACAACTCCTGTTACAGAAGAGGCAAAATGGTTTTAAGAAGGAGTCCAACCGGTCTGTCTTGATCCTTCAGGTCCTCGCTTGTCAACGTTGCTCTCTCGCTAATCAAACTCCTTCGTCCCGGCCTTTTGTTTTCTCAAGTCGGAAATGAAGACTTGAAGCCCAGAAAATACACACACACACACACACACACACACACACACACACACGTTTCCCCGAAAATAAGACTGGGTCTTATATTAATTTTTGCTCCAAAAGACGCATTAGGGCTTATTTTCTGGTTAGGTCTTATTTTGGGGGAGAAATGCACCCATCTGGCTGTCAATCTTAACTGGGGCTTATTTGGGGGATAGGGCTTATTTGACAAGCATCCTGAAAAATCAAGACCGGTTGGGTCTTATTTTCACGGAAGAGTGGGTACCCTACTCGGCAAAGATTTTTTGCCAAAGCAGAAATGGGAACGCGTTTTTTAAAAATTGAGCTAGCTTTCCTGTGACCTCAAACTACATTTGGATCGAAGCCATCTTGGAAAGCTGCTTTTAGAAGCTTGAGCAGCTGATAGGCAAAAGTTTTAACCCATAGCTCTGTGGTCTTCTCGGACCATGCCAAGCCAGCGTGAAACATGGAAACCTCTCACGACGTAAGGCACCTGTTCTAGAAGGAAGCCTGCCTTCCTACAACCACCTCAGTCAATCTCCTTCTTAACAGATGCTATGTAGGGCAGAACTGTGTACCTTGATGACCATTTAGGAGGGAAAGAGTCAAAAGAAAAGGTGTCAGGTAGGAAGCAGGTGTGTGCTTCAAGCAACTGACAGACTGATGTTTAGTTGTGCAAAAGGAGAAAGAGAAGTTGGGGCAACCAGACTACCACCTACAGATTTCCCAAACCAAGAAATAGAGTGCTTGCTTGCTTGCTTTTCTCTTCTCCACCTTCTTTCTGGCTTTGTTAGTCACATCCTTTCAGCAAACAGACCCCCCACTACCCTCACTTGTCATCCATAAATCACATCTCCCCCCCCCCCCCTTCTGCTGGCCCAGAGAAGAAAACTGAATCACACTTTTTTTTTTCATTTTCTTACCTGAAACAGGTGAAGAGTTGGTTAGTTCCAAGGTTGCAGAGTTCATTTTGCTACCGGGCTGTAAATGTAACTCCTCTTTCACTCCATTAAGGAGACATCCAGGCTCGGAGCTGGCTTGCACCAAGCAGGGGACTTCCACGGGATTTCCAGCGAGAGATTCCAGAGGGACATGTGCTTCTGCCGGCAATATCACTTGACCGGGCATTGGGTCAGCATTATCCAACAGATGATCAGGTTGCTGAGCAGCTTCTTTCGTTCCAACTTTGTCCGACTGCTCGGTCACAGGAAGAGCGCAGAGAGGCAAGGGAAGGGATTCTGGTTCATCTTGGCTAGTCCTCCTCCCGTTCCCTTCTTCCGACTCTCCCAGCTTCGTAACGTCCATTTCACAAGCCAACGAAAGCATTTCGGAACCGGAATCACAGTCACCAAGGGGCTCTTCAGCAATTGGCTGAAGCAATATTCGGGAAGGGATATTTTCCACTTCCCCCTCCTCCTCCCCCTCCTCCTCCTCTCCATGCTGTGAAAGACCAGTTTCCATGGCCAGATCAAGAGCCGTCAGAGGAGCTTTGATCGCATCCAAGGTGCTGCCAGCTGGAGAGGCTGCCTGCCCAGCTGGACCAAGCTCAAGTCCCGGGTTCAGCATGATCTCAGGGGAAGAAGTCCTCCCGTTGCAAAGAGAAGCGCCTTTTGCTAAGCCAGGCACTGGAGGAACATCTCTGACCGCCTCTACCTTTACTTGCTCCTCAGGTTCCAGACTGGTGGCTTTCTCCTTTAAGCCGGGCTCGGCATTGCTTCCATCCACCGGTTGCTCTTTACCCAGATCACAAGGAGGCGACTGCACAGGGACTCCCGGAAGGAAGCTGTCCTCTGTCTTGCCAAGCAGTTCCTTCTCGCTTTCAGGCAGCTGTGAAGAGCTGTGCTCCTTGTCTTCTTCCCAGCCAACTACCGGAGCAAGAGACGTGGCTGCCAGCTCACCTTGCTCTGGGCTCCCCTGTTCAGCCACTCCAGTCAGCTGCTCTGCTGCTTCTGCTGCCTCTGCTGTTATTGCTGCTCCTACTTCCTGGTTTTGTTCGGAGTCTTGATTAAGAGCAGCAGAGGGTGTGCCCATTAAATGCTCCTGAATACATTGGGTGCCCTCACCAGGCAAAGATAGGGCAAGGCTTTCCAACTGTGAAGGAGCTCCCTGGCCAACAGAGGCTGCTCTAGCATTGTCCTTCTGCGTAACAATCAACTGAGCCTCCTGAATAGCTTTCTCAACCAGCAAGGCTGATGTCAGAGCTATGCATTTTTGGAGGCTTTCGCCAGATTGACCCAGTTCCTCTTTGCTTCCTATCCTCTCTGCTGGTCCACAAAGAGGCTTCTCAAGATCCGAGGGCATCATCGTAAGAGAGTTGAGAACATCTGGAGGCGATTCAGGACCATCAACTGGATCTGCGTGCATCTGCAGTACAGAGGAACTCAACTCTTGGTCTTTGCCAAAATCCTGTTTTTTCTCATCCGGGTGTTCAACCAGAGACCCCTGACCAACTGTGGTAGGATCGGCATTTCCTTCAGTCTCTAATGGTGTCAGGTCAACTACTTTTTGCTCACTCTGCTCTGTAGCTGTGGTCTCTGGGATATCAGTTCCACCACAGGCAGCCTGGAGCTGCTCACCCGTTGGGCTCTTCCTGGGGTTTCCGACATTGCCATCTAGAGGACTACTCGGCCCTTTGCTGCTCAAATCCAAAGCACTGTTTTCAGGAGCCATGTCTGCATCTCTCCGTTGCCCTTGATCACTCACTTCCATCGCAGAACGATGCTCCAGAGAAAAGCCAGCTATGTCTTCAAGGTTTTTGGACAACGGTTCTATTCCAGGGTTTGGAGCAATGTTCTCCTTCTCCTTCAAAGTGTTTTTTGGTCCACTGTTGCTATGATTTTCTGCTCTGGTCTCTTTGTTCCTTCCATTGTCAATAGAACTAACATCTGCAGTAGCAACCACATCTACAAGACCTTCTGGCACTGAGGTTAGCTCATTCTCGTCTTTAGAGGCAACAGTAGGGTCACCATTCCCAAGGAAGAAGGCGGCAGGATTGCTTTGTGATGCAACAGATGATGGCAACCCTTCCATAGCTGTTGTCCCGAAAGGCTCCACATCAATGTCTCCATTTTCCATATACGGTTGGGACGTCACGCTAACGTCTATGGCCCCTGTGCAGCTCTTGCATTCACTTTGTCCCATATTTACATTGCTGCCCCCGCAGGAAGCTGGGGATGTATTTTCCGTTACTCCTGATCCAGCCAGCTGCACTTCCTGGAAGAGATTATTTCCTTCACATTGGCTCCCTTGTTCCAAAGTAGCACCGGAAGAGCTCATTCCAACTTCCTTGTTGGGATTTCCAAAGGAGGGGAGGCCAGCAGCCTCACAGAAGGTCCTCTTGCTATCATCTTCTTCCAACACTACTACAACAGAGTCTCCAACAGAAGATAAACACTCCTCTTCCTCTTTGTGTGGCAATTTTTCACCCTGACAGGAAGACCTTTGGTTCTGCATTTCCTCCGACGTCTCTTGTGATACGCCTAAAAGCTCGTCGGGTTGCTGGGAGGCACCTTCCTCTGCAAGGCAAACAGGGGGCGAGATCTCTAGAGGATCAGAAGAAGCGTTTTGAGTTGCTTCAACCATCAATACATCCAACTCGTGTTCTGCAGAAGCTTCAGCAGCTTCAGGCCCAGGATCCAAACCACAGTCGTCACAGGTCTGCGCTGGACAACGGTCTTCATTCACATTCTAGAAGAAGAGAAGAGTTTTTATTATTATTTTTAAAAAGCAGGGAGCGGCTGCAATGTACCTTTTTCTTTTGAAAATCCAAATATAAGAAGAAGCAATTAAGTTGCAATATCTGCTTTGGTTTGTAACTTAACTAAGTAGCTAAATTACTTTCTTCTCCAGCATCGTTGGCTGGAGACTCAAACTTGGTGGGAGGAAAAGACCACAGTACAGGTAGTTTTCAACTTGCGACCACAATTTCTGTTGCTAAATGAGACATTTGTTAATAGCAAGAGCACTTAAGACTTATATGCCCCCTGAGATACGCACGATATCAGACCTCCGGACTTTTCGTCGGGCCCTGAAAACACACTTATTCCATCTAGCTGGGCTGGCTTGATCCCATCCTCTCAGTTTTTAATTTGAATTTGGTTTTAATTGGTTTGTTTTAAACTTGGGCCAAAATTATTTAATTGTTTTTTAAAATGTTTTTTAAATTTTATATGCTGTGTTTTATCTTGGCTGTATACCACTCTGAGTCCCGCAGGAGAAGGGCAGTATAGAAAAAAAATAAAATAAATAAAAATAAATAAATAAATATACCACTTCACAGGGCTTTTACAGCTCCCTCTAAGCTGTTTACAGAGTCAGCCTCTTGCCCCCAACAATCTGGGTCCTCATTTGACCCACCTCGGAAGGATGGAAGGCTGAGTCAACCTTGAGCCTGGTGAGATTCGAACTGCCAAATTGCAGGCAGCCGGCAGTCAGCAGAAGTAGCCTGCAGTACTGCACTCTAACCACTGCGCCACCGAGACTCACAATTAAGTGAGTTTTTCCCCATTTCATAACCTTTTGTAACAAGAAATTGTTAAGTGGATCACCGCCGTTGTTAAGTTAGTAACACGATTGTAAAGTGACTCTGGCTTCCCTCTCTCGACTTTGCTCGTCAGAGGGTCGTGCAAGGTGATTCCATAACCTTGGGACACAGCAACGGTCGTAAGTATGAACCGGCTGCCAAGCATCTGAATGTTGATCACATGATCATGGGGATGCTACAAAGGTTGGAACTGTGAAAAAATGGTCATACGTCTCCTCGTGTCATTGTAACTTTGAACAGTCGCTAAAAGAACTGTTGTAAGTTGTGGACTACCTGTATAGATACACCCATCCACTACCACCATGTTCCTTGCTGCTTTTGAGTCTGGGACTGCCACAGAGGAGAAGGGAGGCGGAGTTGCTCTGAAAACTGCCTCCTCCTATTCTCTAACAGGAAGTTTGGTGTTGTTTTTTTTCTTCACTTTGGAAACCTGAATGACAATCACCCTTTCCTCTGTTCCAATTCCAAGCAAGTTTTCTTGCCTTCAGCTTCTTGCCTGAATTCTTTAGATAGATTCCACTAATAATTGACTAGACTAGACCAGCCTTACCTGACCAGGTACTCTCCCAGTGGGTTGGGACAGCATCTCCCATGCTGGCAGGGAATTCTTAGAATTGCAAACCGCTTATCTATCTTGGGAAGGTATCAGCCTCTAGGTTAGTCACCCCAAAATTAGATGGGAATGGCTGGGTTTTTTTCCCCCTAGCTTCTTTTTCCTTTCCTTTTTCTCCCAATCTTTCATCTCCCCCTCTCTCTTTCTCTCTCTCTCCCTCCCTCTCCTCTCCCTCTCTCCTTTCTCTCCCTTTCCTCTCCTTTCTTTCTCTCTCCTCTCCTCTCTCTCTTCTCTCTCTTTACCTCCCTCCCTCCCTTTCCTCTCCTCTCCTCTATTTCTCTCTCTCTCCTCTCCTTTCTCTCTCCTTTCTTCTCTCTCTCTCCTCTCTCCCCACACTAATCCAGGAGGGGCCAATTTATATATATTTCGCTGATAAAGAAATAAAGGGAGACTAGTATAGATCTATTTCAAGCTATTTAGCTCTCATCAGCTAGCCATACCCTTACTTGGATTCAAACTTGGGCTGCCTGCATGTTAGGCAGTTGTATTAACCTCTGAGCCACAAGTTCTGAGCCACTGCGTCCCTTTCGCCTTTCAGCTCCAATCCCCTGGCTCAAACTGATGAAGGGAGGAGAACTTGTGGCTCAGAAGGTTAATTCAACTGCCTAACATGCAGGCAGCCCAAGTTCGAACCCAGGTAAGTGTATGGCTAGCTGATAAGAGCTAAATAGCTTGAAATAGATCTATACTAGTCTCCCTTTATTTCTTTATCAGCGAAATATAAATTTGGTACAAAATGGTTTGTCATCAATGCGACTGAGGGCTCCTGGATTGGAGCTGAAAGGGGAAAGGGATGCAGTATGCTCCCTCCCACATGTTGGGGTAGACCAAGTGCCTCGATAGAAAAACACACCCACACCCATATATTATTATCAGGAGTCTGATCTCTTGCAAGCATTTCGAAATGAGGTTGGATGACATTAGCCTGAAGGTCCTGTGCCTTTATAAGGCCATTGGGTGACCAATTCAGCAAAGACCTCCTATGTACATATTCATTGGGGGGGGGAGAGACTCCTAAGTGCTGATCCATCCAAACACCCTCAGTCCCAACTGAGCCTCAAATAAAGAAAACTGCTGAAGACTTCAGCCCAACCACTTTGGCTGGGAGTCAGCCAGCAGCAGATGTAGACACAAACACTTGTGCTGGAAGGCAAAGTGACTGGGGGAAGGGAGGAAGGGAAGGAAGGAGAGAAAACGGAGGGGGGGGGGGGGAGGAGGAGAGAAAATTAAGATTTTACTGCCATCCTCTCAATGAAGTCATTCTGGTTCCCTAAGCTGAAAAAGACAGATCCTTCTTCTCCAGGAAGTGAAGCTCCATTCAGCTGACCCTGACTTAACTAAAACTGAAATCATTAAAGGCTCTGGCCCAGATTCAAATTAGATTAGATGTGAAACAAACCAGGTCTCTTGACAGAAGGCCACCTAAACATAGCTTTTCCAACCGGTGACACATGATGTATCCCCTCCAGTGCATTTGCTATCAGTTAATACCCAAACAAGACTTTTAATCTGGAAGGTCATTGGCTCTGTTTCACTCCTGGTGCTGTGAGCAATGGGGGAACCTAGGCAACAAATTAAAAATATACCCTGTTTCCCCCAAAATAAGACATCCCCTCATAATCAGCCCAATCAGGCTTTTGAGCGCATGGCAATATGGCCAAGCGCTTATTTCAGAGTTCAAAAAAATATAAGACACGGTCTTATTTTCGGGGAAACATGGTACTGAGACTGTATTCACACCCTCTACTGAATCCAGATTAAAAGTAAAAGGTAAAAGTTCCCTTGCACAGATGTGTTAGTTGTTCCCGACTCTAGGGGGCGGTGCTCATCTCCGTTTCAAAGCCGAAGAGCCAGCGCTATCTGAAGATGTCTCCGTGGTCATGTGGCCGGCATGACTCAATGCCAAAGGTGCATGGAACCGGGCCAAACCAGGAGGAACCCACCACTGGTGGTGGGTAATCCAACACTGGGGGAATTTAATAAGAGACTGGACAACCATTTGTCTGAAATGGTATAGAGTTTCCTGCCTAAGCAGAGGGTTGGACTAGAAGATCTCCAAGGTCCCTTCTTACTCTCTTATTCTGTCTCCTAGCACAATTTCATCCCTGAACCAAAGCCTTGTAGTCTAACACTAGAATTCTATATTTTAGTTGCTTCGCTCCAGAAGTTAAAATAAGTTACTTTCATTCACAATCACTTCTTCCACCCTTGACCTCTCCAATACCATCTCAGTTTTCTAATGATTATCATCACCTGCCTTCAATAATTCCTCCATTTGGGGGTCACTTTCTGCAGTATATATGTCAAGTTTCCAAAAGATGCCCTAATTAATTCATGAGCCATGATCCAAACTTCAAAGGAAATATAGTCATTTATTAGGAGCAACATTCCGGCAATACTCAGATGCAGTTAGGACTGATCCTATGTAGATTTATGTTCCCCTATGACCCTGTCTCTCCCCTCCTCTCTGGCCATGTCATAAATCACATTCTCCAATTAACCACTTTGGCTGGCTGTGAAACCGAACACCCTCCTTCTGATTGCGGTCAGAAAGAATGTATGGAATTCACTTCAGTTCTCCCTCCCTCCTGTTCATGGCAACTTGAAAGCTTTGCAAGTTGACAATATACACATTTTGATCATAAGGCCCCCGAGCAGGGATGGGATTCAGCCGGTTTGGACTGGTTCAGGAAAACTGGTAGTTACGGCCAGCGGTTGGGTCCACTTACCCGCCCCAGTGCTATCCCGTCTTATACAATTGCCATGTTTTTGATATGGCACGCATGTGCGCCAGGCACAGGAGAGAAGTGAGTGTGCATGCAGGCACGCTCACATTTTCGATTCTGGGCGAACCGGTTGTTAAATTATGCAAAGCCCACCTCTGCCCCTGAGGGCATCCTCCTCCCAATTGTATTATTTACATGCATATCGTGCAACCACAGAAATAACAAGGAGGGGATCATTAAACATTCACAGATGCTTTTCCTAGCATCGTATTCCTCTCCCCCGTCTCATTAAACTGTTCGCATGCGATCCATATTCACAGCAATCAAGGATCCTGAATTGTGGTATCTGAGAGTGTTTAGGTCGGCTGTCAGAAGCAGAATGTTATCTCAAAGCAATTTATTCTCAAGAGATTAAAAAAGAACAACGCAATAAAACTGTCTTCTTATTATAATCAAAACCAAACCTGTAATCCTATCAAGTTTTTTTTTTTTAAAATAACAGCATGGTACTTATCAAAGCAATAAGACCATGACAAATCAGAATTATTCAGAATCCAGCACAGTTTTAAACCAATGAGCTAAGGCAGACCCTTTCCCTCACCGTACGCTGGAGATTCTGGACGAGCAGCTGCAGTCGAGCGATATCTTTCTCCATGTTCAATTGGTCTCCTTCCTTCATTTCAACTGTCAGAGTGTAAATGTTTAAACCTTGGTGGTACTTGACGCAGGAGTCCCCAGAATGTACCATATGCGACAAGGTGCTCCAGGAATCCGGTTCATTGGCTTCTTCTCTGGAAAAGACGTGCACAACCAAACTCTCAAATTTTGAATTGGCTACAAAAGGCTGTGTCCTAGCTAGAACGGATTATTAACAATCGATCAACCATTTGGCCCGCACTCTAGAATTTGAGAAATGATATCCAGCTGAAGATATTTCGGATTACTTGACAAAAGCAATCTATAACAGATGTGGGAAGAGTGTAGAGCAGGAGCTACTAACAAACCTTTAGGTGAACTTGTACAGAAGCTATCACATTTCAGTTTATAGGTCTAGTCTACAGGAGACAAAATACTTAGGTTCTTTCTCAGATGTGATGATGATGATGATGATGATTATATGAGTGGCTTGCCAACTCCTTCTTCCATCATGTTTTATGACCTCCCAGTATAGCCTACAGCATTCCAAAGTGGTCCCCTATTCAAATACTGACCAGAGCAAAATTATTCTCACAGCCAAGATTAATATATTTCCCTCTTTCACATCAGCATCTTTGGAGGAGAACCAGTTTTGAAAAGAATAAATCAGATGTGATATAATACACAACAGCCTTGATGTCCCACAGCAAAAAAATATACATACTGTGATGTGCCACGATGTAAAAAAGATGTGGAGACTCTAGAAAGAGTGCAGAGAAGAGCAAAAAAGATGATGAGGGGACTGGAGGCTAAAACATAGGAAGAACGGTTGCAGGAACTGGGTATGTCTAGTTTAATGAAAAGAAGGACTAGGGGAGACATGATAGCAGTGTTCCAATATCTCAGGGGCTGCCACAAAGAAGAGGGAGTTACGCTATTCTCCAAAGCACCTGAGGGCAGGACAAGAAGCAATGGGTGGCAACTAATCAAGGAGAGAAGCAAGATAGAACTAAGGAGAAATTTCCTGATAGTTAGAACAATTAATCAGTGGAACAACTTGCCTCCAGAAGTTGTGAAGGCTCCAACACTGGAAGTTTTTAAGAAGATGTTGGATAACCATTTGTCTGAAGTGGTGTAGGGTTTCCTGCCTAAGCAGGGGGTTGGACTAGAAGACCTCCAAGGTCCCTTCCAACTCTGTTATTCTATTCTATTCTATTCTATTCTATTCTATTCTATTCTATTCTATTCTATTCTATTCTATTCTCTCCATGTTTTCCACCCCACATCAAACATGAAATCCAAATGTTTTTAGGTCTCAAGAGATACAGCTCCCATTCCCATTACTACCTAACCAGGTTCGCAATCAACAGCAAAGTCATCAGAATAATAATTATAAATGCTGTTCTAGATTTAAGATTCCTATATGCAGGAATTTATATACAATTATGGTCTCTGGAATCTCTAACTGCACCATTGTTATCATAAACAAGAATACACTTCTCCGGGAATCTGGGTCAGAATGAACTTGGCAATTAGCCTTCTGTTCTGAAATGGAGGACCAGGTTGCTCTAATTAAGAGCAATTGATAGATTCGTTGCCTAAAGAAGCCAGCAACTTTCCTTTGGGTTGCTAATTTCAGGGAAAAAAACTGAAATTACCTCTCAATGCAAAAAATATGTGGATAATCCCCCCCAATGAATGACATCAAGCAAAATGCCCTAGGTCAAAATGCCTTGCAAAATTATGTGTTTTAGAAAAAGAAAGAGAATTTAATTGGACGGGGAGAAAGAAGTAGTTCCTTAAAGTTCTTTTGAACTGGAGTTGACAACTTTCTTCCAGTTCAGGACCACCCATTAAATACATATTTCAAACTGTTGCTTGGAGCTCTGGGGAGAAAGAGGTGAAATAAGAGAGTATTTTTTTTCCCCATCGAGGAGGCTTGGGGTTTTTAATAGCAGAAATGAGGGCTCTTGTGTAATATATTGGTATCTGATATTGCCCCTAAAACCACTCCTGTCTCCTAGTAAGGCACAACCAGGGATGGGCTGCTGAGAGTTTGCAAGGGTTCAGGAGAACCTCTAGGTAAGTTTCTGTGTGGTTCAGAGAACTCCCAAATCCCACTCCTGGCTGGCCCCGCCCGCCCCTCCCCGCCCATCCCAGGAGTCGCCACCAGAGGTGGGTTTCAGTTCTGGAGAACCGGTAGCGGAAATTTTGAGTAGTTCGGAGAACCAGTAAATACCACCTCTGACTGGTTCCGCCCTCATCTATTCTCTGCCTCCCGAGTCCCAGCTGATCGGGAGGAAATGGGGATTTTATAGTATCCTTCCCCTGGAGTGAGGTGGGAATGGAGATTTTACAGTATCCTTCCCCTGCCATGCTCACCATGCCACGCCCACCAAGCCATGCCACGCCCACCAAGCCGCACCCACAGAACCGGAGTAAAAATGTCGCTGGTTGCTACATAGCTGTTTTGGATGCAGGTAAATGCAGGGCACGCACGGAGGCTCGGGGAGGGCAAAAAACAGGCCTATTGGAAGTTTGGGAAGGCCAGAACAGGTGAGGGCCTCCGGAGCCTGGGGAGACCGTTTTCACCCTCCTGGAGGCACAAAGAAATCCTCCGGAGTTCGGGGAGAGCAAAAATGCCTCCTCGCCAGGGTTCAGGAGGCTGGCTAGGCCACGCCCACCACGGCCACGCCCACCCAGCAACTGGGCAGAGAACCCCCTTGCTAAAATTTTTGAAGCCCACCCCCCCCCCCGGGCACAATGGTCAGGTGCCACTCTCAAAGGTCCAAGCTCCGGACCTAAACAAAAACAGAAGCTTACTCACTCTGGAACCAAAAAAAAAAAAAGAGGGGGGGGATTTATTTAGGCCAGACTGCCGGCACGCAATGAGTCCGCAAACTCTTGAGCAGCCGGGTAGGCTCTGATTTCTTTATCCGCCACCCACGAGGCTTCCATTAATAGGTGTCAATGGTTTGACAATCACCTTATGGTGTGCACCAAGGGGCAAGTTGTCCACCTTTCTCAGGTCTACCAACATTGCACTGAATGGCAAAACACTTGCAAAACCCGCTTGGGTTGACTTACAGGCAGAAAAGAAGACCATCAAGAAAGTTAGAAGACCAAAAAAAATGGCCTTTCTTAAGTAGGCAATTAGCTCAGGATTGCTATATTGATCAGTTATATCAGCCCTGAGTTCCTAGTCCCAGGAACTGGGTGTATCTAGTTTAATGAAAAGAAGGAGTAGGGGAGACATGATAGCAGTCTTCCAATATCTCAGGGGCTGCCACAGAGAAGAGGGAGTGAAACTATTCTCCAAAGCACCTGAGGGTAGAACAAGAAGCAATGGGTGGAAACTAATCAAGGAGAGAAGCAACTTAGAACTAAGGAGAAATTTCCTGATAGTGAGAACAATTAATCAGTGGAACAACTTCCCTCCAGAAGTTGTGAATGCTCCAACACTGGAAGTTTTTAAGTAGAGGTTGGATAACCATTTGTCTGAAGTGGTGTAGGGTTTCCTGCCTAAGCAGGGGGTTGGACTAGAAGACCTCCAAGCTCCCTTCCAACTCTGTTATTCTATTCTATTCTACTCCTAACTGGAGCACTCTCTAGAAACCGAGGAGGAAGTGACTCAAGCTAAACAGATCCTTGTCTGAATGGATGACTGTTTAAGAATCAGCATACGAGGCAAGAGATAAATGCACAAAGCAAAAAAAAAAAAAAAAGCCGAAATGCTAATCAAAATCTGTAGTCCTTACTTGGTCAGGATGTGATGCAGTTTCTGGTAGCCCCTCTCCAGGGCTAAGCTCACCGGTGTGGCTCCTTCACTGTTGGGAACGGTCACAGCGCTTCTGCCACCTGGTTGCTTCAACAGAAACCACGTCAGCCGCAGCAAACCGAGTCTGGCTGCAAAATGCAACAACGTCTCCCGGGGAACATTTTCTGAGAAGCCAAAGCAGAAAGAAAAAAGGCTTCAGCCTCCAGGTTCATATATATCAGAGGGTGTCTCGAAACTTCCCACTAGACCAGAGGTCTTCAAACTTGGCAACTTCTGGACTTCAACTCTCAGAATTCTCCAGCCAGCTATTCTGGGAGTTGAAGTCCAGAAGTCTTAAAGCTTGCCAAGTTTGAAGACCTCTGCACCAGACGCCGTCTCATTTGGAGCATGAGAGTTTACACCTCAGCCGGGGTTCACAGTGAACCCTCAAAAGAGGCTGGATTTCCCCAACTGTGGGTGGGGAGTGGGGGAGACAACCGAGCTGAGACGACGGAATCAAACTCAGAGGGCACATGAATGATCAGACCTGTGACACCTTCTTGTCATTTTTTTATTTATTTATTTATATGCCGCCCTTCTCCGGAGACTCAGGGCGGCTTACAATACGTTAAGCAATAGCCTTCATACTTTTGTATATTTTTATACAAAGTCAGCTTATTGCCCCCACAAACTGGGTCCTCATTTAACCTACCTTAGAAAGGATGGAAGGCTGAGTCAACCTTGAGCCTGGTAAGATTCGAACCTGCAGTAATTGCAGGCAGCTGTGTTAATAACAGGGTGCTTTAAACCACTGTACTACCAAGGCTCTATTCTTCATTTCCACCATCATTTTGACAGAAGAGTAGCGTCTAGCAAGGGGATCTGTTGAGCATCAAACAGCGCCCTCTGTCTGCCTTTCACTACCTTCTCAAAGCAATCCATTCCGCTTCCAAACTTCATCATCAAACTTACTTCCAACTTCATCATCAAACCTGGCTTTGCCAGTCAGGAGGGAGGGTCACACAGCACAGGAAACCTTCAGTCACCCCAGCAGCTTCTGTGATTTCAGCCAACGTGACTCACCTACCGTCATGAACGCACACAGATTTGTCCCAGGGCAATATCAGCCTTTCAAACTACACCAAGAGTTTTTTGTTTCAATGTGCAGGAATTAACCAAGATTGGAACAAGAGAAGTACATACATTAGATTAGATTAACAGAGTTGGAAGGGACCTTGTAGGTCATCTAGTCCAACCCCCCACCCAAACAGGAGACCCCTACACCATTTCTGACAGATGGCGGTCTAGTCATTTGCAGCCCTGGGGACTGGGATCTGCGTCCTGTCATCCTAAAAAATGAAATTTGAGCTCTCTGCAGAAGCTCAACCTTGTATATCACAGAAGCCCTATGAATAGTAGCCGGGTTTTGTTTTTGTTTTAAAGTTAAAAAGAAAATATCAAGCACTGCATGTGACCGATTTGCAGCTAAAATCATTTTGTTGATTCGTTCTTGGAAGACAAGTCTGTTCTTGTTTTTTCTTGTTTAAATCCCGTTGGCCATTTTGAGCAGCATTTCATCAAGAGTAATAAGTAAATTAGAAAACGTTTCTCCTCTTTTTCTTTCTTTCTTTTTTTCAGATTTTATTTCATTCTCACAACTCACTCGAGAGAGAGAGTTAACTTCTTCCTGGCGTAAATCTGTCAGCCCTATTTTATGTATAAAAATTAAAACCAGACAAAATCGGGGCCGAGAAATGGCAGCGGAGTGACCGCAGAGAGGTCCCCACCTAGAAAATTTCTAAATGGCATAAGCATGTTGGTGCCTATATATGCTCAGTTAGGAAAAGTAATATTGTTATTGCTTTGAGTCACGTAACATTTTATTTCCTGCGTAAATTTAAGCTGCCCTTAAGAGTCAAAAGAGCTGCAGGATCTTGCAGTGCTAAATATATCTGGATTAAATTTTGGCAGGAAGACACTATGGCCTCAGCCTGGTATCAGCTAAGAAGGACTTACTGCTCAGAGTCGGCCTTAAAGCAGTTCTAGAGCTGTTTGAAGAAAGGATTATTTATTTATTATTTATTTATTGGTTCGATTTATATGCCGCCCTTCTCCGGAGACTCAGGGCGGTTTACAATGCATTAAGCAATAGCCTTCATGCTTTTGTATATACCTGCTTAGTAGGGCTTTTGCCCCCCTTCCCCCAAGTGGTGTTCTTTTTTATTCAAAGTCAGCTTATTGCCCCCACAAACCGGGTCCTCATTTTACCTACCTTTGAAAGGATGGAAGGCTGAGTCAACCTTGAGCCTGGTGAGATTTGAACTTGCAGTAATTGCAGGCAGCTGGTGTTATCTTAACAGTGCTTTAGTCTGCTGCGCCACCAAGGCTCTTATTGAATAATTGAGAAAAAATGAGAATAAGACTTATCTTCCAAGAATGACCGATCGATTGATCTCAATGCATTTATATGCCCCTGCAATCAACAATGGATCTCGATAGTGTTGACAATTAAAAAAATAAAACAGTACCAAAACAAATAGAGGTGTATCCGAGTTGTGGCTGCTCCATCATTGGAGGCTTTTAAGAAGAGGTTGGACAGCCATTTGTCTGAAATGGTTTAGATTCTTCTGCATGGGTAAGGGATTGGAACGGAAGACCTCCAGCATCCCTTCCAACTCTGTGATTCTCTTCTATTATTCTGTTATTCCTTCTATGATCAGATATATCCATCCCATCAAGCCCAAAGAAAGTCCAGAGTGATATAGGATCTCCTACCACAGGCAGCGGTTGGACTAGAAGACAAGAAGATCTCCAAGTCCCTTCCAACCCTATTGTTTTATGTTTTAGGACTGTGATGGTGAACCTTTGGCAGGCATGCCATAGGTGGCACATGGAGCCATCTCTGTGGGCACACTAGCCAACGCCCAGGTCAACTCCACTGCACATGCCCGTGCGCCTCCTGCCGGCCAGCTGATTTTTGGGTCTCTGCCAGGAGGGGTGCGTGCATGCATGGGGTGGGGTTGCGTGCTGCATGCACAGGGATGGGAGGGTCATACACGCATGCACGTGTGCATGGGGGGTGCAGCACCCCCGTGCCCCGTTTTTGGTCCCAGGAGGCTTCAGGGAGGCCTGCTAGCACCAAAATGGGGGTTGCGCATGAATGAGCGGGGGGCACGAGAGTGTGTGGGGGTCATGTGCGCATGCGCAGGGTGGGACCTGCAGGGGGAGGCATTGCATTATGGGTGTTGGCACGTGCACATGTGTGCTTTCGGCACCCGAGGGAAAAAAGGTTCGCCATCCCTGTTCTATGGATCTAAAATTTCCAAAATCAATACATTATAAAATCATCAAGCACCTGAGTTCCGAGGCCGATAGATAGCTAATTCTTGTTGTCCCGTTCCAAGGTGTTCCACCAAATTCTGATTGAAAAGGTGCAAGCGACCACGATGAGCACAATCTGGGAAGTGCAGTGGAGCATTGTGGCAGGCAGATCAGAGTTTGCTAATGAATGTGAGAAAGCTGTTGACCAGGGGTGGGCTTCAAAAATTTTATCACATTTTATTCTCTGCCCGGTGGCTGGGTGGGCATGACCATGGTGGGCGTGGCCTAGTTGGCCTCCTGCTCCACGGCAGGGATGGGTGGGTCATTTTTGCCCTCCCTGGGCTCTGGAGGCTTTCATCGAGCCTCCAGGAGGGCGAAAACGGCCTCCCCAGGCTCTGGAGACTCTCTGGAGGCTGCAAAACGGGCCCGTTTCTGGCCTTCCCGAACTTCCAGTAGGCCCATTTTTTGCCCTCCTTGAGCCTCCATGCACGCCCTGCACTTATCTGCATCCAAAACAGACCGCGTGGGGACTCCTGGGAGGGGAGGGCGGGACCAGCCAGGAGTGGGATTTAGAGGTTCTCTGAAGTGCACAGAATTTTAGCTAGAGGTTCTCCCGAACCCCAACAGCCCACCCCTGCTGTTGACAGTGCGAGCAGGCTTGGGGTTTGGAATGCATTGCACAAATATGGAATTCCACGTTGATGGTTAAGTAGGATAAGAGTGGCCTGTAAGCTTTATTAAAACACATATAACAACATATAAGAACATTTACACAACAAACATATGTGTTTTAATAAAGTTTATAAATTTTAAAATTCGGGGGAAAAAAAAGAGAGAGAGTGGCCTGTAAGCTAAATCAATGATGCATGAGAATAAACGGAATGCTTAAAGAATGGGAGTAAACAGGGCAAGATAAGGATACGTGATGTCATTGACTGATCATTGACTGATCATTGAATGTATGTATACATAATGCCATTCACCCCAAAAGCAAATAGCAAGGAAACGAATCTCTGGAAAGGACAAACAAATTATGGCCAAACTGTTCAGCCAGCTGCATGCTACCACCCCAGAGAAAGCAACCAGTCAAAGAATAACTACCACAACGTGACCGCAAAGAACAGTGGATAAAAATATGAAATAAAGATACAGGTGGTTAGGGAAAAGAAAAGCAGGCCCATGGATATTGTAGTAGCAATGAGGAACCAAAGGTGCTTTTTTTTTCAAAAGGCAACTGGACTTTTTTGTTTTTTCCCTTGAAGATGTTTCGCTTCTCCTCCAAGAAGCTTCTTCAGTTCTGACTGAATGGTGGGGGGATTGGAACTGAAGCAGCTTCTGGGATTAGAAGCGAAACGTCTTCAAGGAAAAACCAAGGAAGTCCAGCTGCCTTTTGAAAAAAAACATCTTTGGGGCAACCATGACTTGGATGACTCAGAATTTCCAATAGTCAAAAGAGGAATCATTAATTTAAACAGGGGTGAAATCCAGCAGGTTCTGACAAGTTCTGGAGAACCGGTAGTGGACATTTTGAGTAGTTCAGAGAACCGGCAAATACCACCTCTGGCTGGCCCCAGAGTGGAGTGGGAATGGAGATTTTGTAGTATCCTTCCCCTGGAGTGGGGTGGGAATGGAGATTTTGCAGTATCCTTCCCCTGCCATGCTCCCCAAGCCACACCATGCCCACCAAGCCACGCCCACAGAACCAGTAGCAAAAGAAATTGGATTTCACCACTGAATTTAAGGTTTTTATACCCAAAAGGTAGTGCGCTCTCTCTCTCTCTCTCTCTCTCTCTCTCTCTCTCTCTCTCTCTCTCTCTCTCTCTCTCTCTCTCTCTCCCTCCCTCCCTCCCTCCCTCCCTCCCTCCCTCTCTCTCTCTTTCAGGAAGGAACTGTCTTGTTCTCATTCATGACACTTCAACTGTCTTGACAGTCATTTTGGTTAACGCACAGGATAAAAATGCTACAGATAACATCTACCAAAACTAGCAACAACAGAATCGTTTGACTGAGATTTGTTTCTGTGGCGTGGCATACAATGCAAATTGCTTAGAAAGCTAATCCGCGCAGACAAACAGGGTACTAATAGAATAAATCAGGTTTATGGAAAACAGATTCAGCAGCTGCATTTTGCAGGGAGAAATTCAGTCCGGTCTGTCGAAAATATGACGTGGGAACCCGGCTCTTAAGTTTGATTATCGCCGTAATAATCCAATCTGCAGCACGCGCCCAAAGCATTACCAAAACCTTACCGTTGAGACTGTGGTCTGTTCCCAACACGTTCCACTCGGTCGGCAGCTTCAGGTGACGAAACGCCAAAGTTACTTTCTCATCCAGAAAATCTAAGTCCCCGGTAGGTGGCCTGGAACGGTCCAGGAAACGTGTAAAGTTTAACGCTTGCTGGTTTCCAGCACACGATGCCAGGAATTGCGCCGCATCGTAAGTTTCATCCTGGATGAATTGCAAGCTCTCTTCAGCCACCACCAGAAGAGGGTGACCTTGCTTTGTGGCACAGAGAGAGACTTTCACCGTCTCGCAACAGTCATGTCCTGCGGGGGTTTGAAAAAATGGACCGAAATTAAGACATTTTCATTCTACTTTTTCCATGTCCTTCCATCTTCATCATGGGTGTACAACGTTTTCTGAGCCAGGGGCTGCACAAAGTCCTTGGAAGAGCCCACCAGAGGCCAGGTTCAAAGAAAGGGACAAGACCAAGTCTACGTTCATTTCATTTTCATTAAAACTGCATCGGTTAAACGTCCCTTCGCCGTGAAATGGGCAGCATTAAAAATAATAATAATAATAAATTAAATAAATAAATACAGCCAATGCACAATTGTTTTGGCCTCCGTTGTCGTTGTAAATTGAGGAGTACTTGATTTTAGCTTTCTCCTGAGTCAGGGAGTAGGGCTATGGGTCATCAGGACATTCAAACCTGGTCTAGCTATCAAAACCAATCAAGATGAGGAATGCTACCCTTTCAAACATTTTGAGCAAAAAGGGAGGAAGCTGAAATATTACTGTGTTTCCCCGAAAATAAGACCCTGTCTTATTTTTATTTTTATGTTTTGAACCCTGAAATAGGCGCTTGGCCTTATTGCCATGCTCTCAAAATTGGGCTTATTATCAGGGGATGTCTTATTTTGGGGGAAAATGGCGTAGGATTGTACCAAACCAAGCAAAATGAGGATTATATAGCGTGTACCAACTCAAATTCCTCTTCCCTTTGAAGGTTTCCTATTTTCAAAACCAGCAGTGTTTTATTGGTGGATCAAGGCCTCACTTCTCCTCCTTTCTTGTACCCCATTGCAGTCACCACCCTCCACACCCAAACTGCAAACTATTTCAGTCCCTTGTTGCGTGAATCAACATTCCCCCACCTCTCCCGCCTCCTTCCTCTCTATTTTTAATTACATCAATGAACTCAAATGACGTTTCCTTCTCCAGAAAAACAGACTTGAACAATTCACAGCTGGACAGTGGCAGCTGGGAAAAATCCTTTCAGGGTAACATGGCAAAAACAATTCATTCACTATTGAAGAGGAAAACTGTGAAGCAGGAATTGGAGCTCTTTTAAGTTCTCAGAACGAAGATAGCCACAGTCACCATACTTGAGTTTTCATAAGCAAAGAGGTAACTGGAATTAAGAATCCAAGTGGAAGAAGCTGAAAAGGTGCTATTTGTAGCTTCCCAACCTAATTCTGTTCAAAGATAAATGACAAGTAGATAGACTCCATGATCAAGTGACTAGGGCCATGATGGCAAACATATGGCACGAGTGCCACAGCTGGCACGCGGAGCCATTTCTGCAGGAACATGAGCTGTCATCCAACTTAGGTCCCCCCTGCGTGCGCCTCCTGCTGGCCAACTGATTTTTGGGATGCGCGGGGGGCGAGTTGCATGTGGGAGACATGTGCGCACGTGTGGGGGTCACACGTGAATGCGCAAGGGTTGTGCATGCATGTGGGGGGGGTGCGGGGAGGTGTGACGTCTCCCCCATGGCTCATTTTTGGGCCCAGAAGGGAAGCCTACTAGGCCCAAAAAGGGGGATGGGGGTAGCACGTGTATGGTTGGTGGTGCGGGAGAGTGACATGTTCATGCGCGGGGGAGCGTGGGGAGTCGTGTGCGCATGCATGGGGGGCGCATTGCATCATGGGTGCCAGCACACATGCACACTTTTGGCACATGAAGAGAAAAGGGTTAGCCATCACTGGAGAAATGGATGATAAAGATATTATCACTGCCAACAACTCTTCAAATAGTTTGAATTAAAAGATGCTGTTCTCTCCCTTCTTCAGCCAGCCACCCCAATGACTCAGACAACCTGCGGAAGTAGCAAAATGGGACACAGGTTTTATTTGTTATATTATTTATACAGCTACCCATACCACAGCCGAATCTGGGTGGCATACAAGGTTTAAAACAACAGTTATAACATACAGAAAATGATGCACCAGTTTAAAACAGTCAACCTCAGATCACAGAAACCACATCAGCTCATCTAATCTCCTGCCCAAAATACTTAGGGAAATAGATGTTCAAAGTCTACTGAAAACTAACAGAATCAGGGTCATCCAGATTTATGGAGTCATGGATGGATGGATGGATGGATGGATGGATGGATGGATGGATGGATGGATGGATGGATGGATGAGAGAGGGAGGGAGGGGCCAAATTCTAAAATGCCAAACTTCCAAGGACTTGAGAATAGTCACACTAGGGATGAATGTTGGAAAATGCAGTTCCCTCACATCTGGAAAGCATCAGGATGAGGAATGTTGGACCATTAGGTAGAGTAGTAGCCAGCAATCTGGGATCTGAAGAAACAAGACACCTAAAATGCTGGGCCAGGATGCTGAACTAAGCAACATTAAAGCGTTGCAGCTCTTAAGAGATGAAACCAAGGTGACAAATAAGGCTTCATCAGATCAAACATCCAGCTGCAGAGAGCAATGTGTTTGCTCCCTTTCAAGTTCTTTGATGTTTTGCTTCCTTTGCCACTGACATGCTTCTCTCCCCCAGCCCAGAATTAGATTTTGACTTTGTCAATTAATTCAAAAGCAAAGAAGAGCTATTCCTCAAAGAACACGGTGAAGATCTAAATTGCTTCAGGACTTCCAGAACCCGTCCCATTAAAAAAAAAGAGAAAGATCTGTGCTCTGCAGTGTCTCTTTCATATTGCTTCTAAGGCTGAACGACAGAAATCAAATTGCTAAAAGAGGCAATTCGGTATTATGGATTTGTAAAGGAAGAAGGGAAGGAGAGTAACAAGATTAAACACATGCACACCCAGACACAAGCCGGAGCCTAAAAGATAGGTTTCATCTGCCACGCTAGGAGATAAATCATATAGTCCTAGGATCAGCGAAAGAAACGGTATATAACAGAATTTGTAACTAATCTCATAAGGGACTATCTTAGCAATACATAACTGAATAAAATATTATACACAGAGGGAAAAAAAATACCTACAATGCCTTGCACTACATTGCACTGAAAAATTAATTTAGGATATTAACCCAACTATCTATCCTTCCCCCAACCCCGACTGCAAAGCAGGGGTGAAATGCTCCCAGTTCAGACCGGATCAGGCGATCCAGTAGCGATTGTGGCAGGTGGTTCGGACCAGGAAGTAATGTGTTTTTTACCCTCTCCGCATGCACAGAAGGTTTTGCGCATGCATAGAGGGTCTGCCTGGCGCATGCACTTCCGAACCGGTAAGGAAGGTAAGTAGATTTTACCCCTGCTGTAAAGATCTATGTATAATATATGGAAATTTTATTCATTCATTCATTCATTCATTCACATTCATTCATTCACATTCATTCATTCATTCATAAAATATACAAATAAAGCTTTGCAAATAATTTTAGCAAATCACCTACATTCTCATAATCTTTCATAATCTTCATAGCCTTGAAAGTTTTTAAGAAGAGACTGGACAACCATTTGTCTGAAGTGGTGCAGGGTTTCCTGCCTAAGCAGGGGGTTGGACTAGAAGACCTCCAAGGTCCCGTCCAACTCTGTTATTCTATTTCTATTTCTTTCCTACAAAAATATTTAAAGCTGCTCTCACTAGGATTTTTCCAATATTGTGCAAATACAATTCTTGCTACTGTCAACACATGTACTATTAAATACACAACCCTTTTATCATATTTTTCAGGTAATATACCTAACACCTATTTCTGGCTTTAAATCTATATGTTGCTTTATCATGTTCTCAAACCATGTATATATTTTCATCCAGCATTTTTTTTTTTTTGCTCTTGGACATGTCCACTACATATAATAGTACAAGCCAGGTATATGATTACATTTCCAACATTTGGCGGACATGTTTTTAAACATCTTTGCTAATCTTGCCAAGAATATTAAGGGTTCTGGACTGGACTGGGAAATAGTCCCAATTCACATCCCAGAAGGACTGGCTAACCACTGATATAATACAGCAAGAAATCTGAATGAATTTGCTATGAATTTAATCCTGATAAATCACCAGAACTTGGTCATTGTAAGTGTGTATCATGGAATTCATTTGAATTAAACTGAAAAGTACATTTCGCGAAGATGGGAAAAGGGACAACTGTCATTACCAGTGAGAAAAAAAATTATGTAATGAAAATGAATGTGTTGCCTGGAATAATGTTTTTGTTCCAGAGAGTACCTGTTTTGACAACTGATGCGCCATTTAAACAGTGGCAAAAGGAGATAGATAAATTTGCGTAGCAGGGGAGTTAAGTATAAGGTGTTGCAAGAGGCAAAGGGAAGAGGAGGAGTAGGTTTACCGGATTTGGAATTGTATTTTGTGGCTTGTTGTTTGCTTTGGATGAAAGAGTGGGTGTTGCTGAGAAATAGAAGGCTTTTGGGGTTAGAAGGACACGACCTAAGATTTGGGTGGCATGGATATTTGTGGCACAATAAAGTCAAGGTTAATGTGGATTTTAAACATCGTTATGTTAGACGTGCCATGTTGAGAATGTGGAACAGATACACCCAGGATGTGCTTCGAACACTCTTGTCCTGCCTACTATTTGGACTCTGGAAAGAGTGTGGAAAAGAGCAACAAAAACTGATTAGGGGCTGGGAAGCCAAAATATATGAAGAATGGTTGCAGAAACTGAACCAGAGTCTAGTGAAAAGAAGGACCTGGGGTGACATCGTAGCAGTGTTCCAATATCTACGAGGTTGCCACAAAGAAGAGGGGAGTCAAGCTCTTCTACAAAGCACCTGAAGGCAGGACAAGAAGCAACAGATGGAAACTAATCAAGGAGAGAAGCAACCTAGAACTAAGGAGAACAATGAACCAGTGGAAAGGTTTGCCTTCAGAAATTGTGGGTGCTCCATCACTGAAGGCTTTTAAGAAGAGACTGGGCAGCCACTTGTCTGGAATGGTATAGAGTTTCCTGCTTGAGCAGGAGATTGGACTAGAAGACCTCCAAGGTCCCTTCCAATCCTGTTATTCTGTATTCTATCCAGCTGTGGGCTATTTTGTCTTTTATTTGACCATTCCTGCATAGTGTCTCTTAAGGACATTCTCACCTAACAG